GGCCTTCTTCTAGATACCGTGACTTCAAGACGCACTATTGGCCTTCTCTCCGACACTGCATGTAAAGACGCACTAATGGCCTTCTTTATCACACGTTAAGAACATAAAGTACCCCCTCAAAATTGGCTCACCAATTCAATACTTCATTCAACTTGTAAAATATGATGAGGTACATGGGGTATTTATAGTTGCAAAATAAATCTAAGCCTAAATCTAATAGATCTCCTAAATATTGCAAGAATAGAAATCCTAAGTCTAGAAAGCAATAAAATCCTAAAGCTACCAAAATACTAATGCTTGGCTTGCACACCAAGCAAATCTAGAATGTCCCTAAAAATAAAACCCTTCGGCCGTCCCAATTCCTTCGGCCCGTCTCACGCGTCGCGCGCGTTCACGAGTCCTAGTCCTCGGCGGACTCGGCGTCTTGCACGCGGTCCTCATACGCGCGCGCTGTTGTGCGCGCCTCCTCGTTGCCGCGTCCCGCCTGCGCGTGCACTTCCGCGCCCAGCACTCCTACGCCCGTTAGGATTGGGTCGCCCGCGCTTGTTCCGTATTCGCGCGCTGTCGCGCGCTCATCGCCACTACCGCCCAGCTGCCGCGCGTCCCCGCCACCTGCGCGAGTCCCGCGCATGCCTCTCCTGCCAGCGCTGCTCGCGCTGTCCGCTTCGCCTATGCCTACACGGGTTAGGCCTCGCGCGCCTGTCGCGCACTCGCGTGTCTTTGCACGCTTCGCGCCCCTGCTGGTCTCACCGTCTTTCTCGCCCGCGTACGCCCACCCGCTACTGCCCGCGAGCACCGCACCACTGCCGGTTCCCTTGTACTCGTGCGCTGCCTTGGCGCAACCCGTGCTCCCCGTCTCTTTGCCACCTCCGATCGCGCTCGTCAATTCGCCTCGCATACGAGCTCGCACCCGTCTCTTAGGCCATGCATGCGTCGTTTTGGCCCTATTTTCAGCCTCCTTGAGTCCTCTTGGCTCTTGGCCCTTCTTGTCGTCGGGGATCAAAACCCACTTACGCATCACTATGCCCCCGTGGACTAGGACGTTCGCGCTTCCGCCCCACTCGCTGCTGCCCGCGCATAGTGCGCGTTTGCGCCCCGTCTGCCGCGCGTCCCAACCGTCGCTCGTGCTCCGATCCTCCACCGTGCACCCGCGTACACCCGTGCACCTGCCAACCTCGCGCCCGCAAATTCCTCTCAAATCCCGCGTGCGAGGCTTGTTTGCCCATTCATGTGCATCAAGGACTGATGCGCTCCTTTCGCATTTTAGCCCCTTGCTAGACTTGCCGGTCCCTAACTCCACTTCCGTATCACGCACGTCCATGTGCCCAATTGCCTGCTTCGGCGTGCGGTAGCGCCCAGCAACGCCAGTTGCGCGAGAGCCAGTGCACATAGCGCTCGGCAGCGCCAATCACCATGCCATGCTTCCAGTCGACCATCGGTTGTGCCTAGCAAACACCTGATGGCCGGTCTAGTGCACGCGATACGCACGTCAGTGCCCAGCGTCGTGTCCGCGCCCAGGGCATGCCCAGCAGGGCCCGACAGTGTCATGCCATGCCCAGTCCAGGCCAGCGCCTGCGTCCGATGCTCAGCAGGCCCGTTGGCCAAGCCAGCGGCCGACCGCCCGGCTACAGCAGACCGGCGGTCTGGCCAGACCAGAAGCTGATGGGTTCAGATCGGTTCAGCGTATATTTTAATGATTTAAGTCCCGGTTCATGTTTATGTTCCATTTTCAGTTAAATTCCGGATCCGGTTCAATTCAGTAATTTCATGTCAGTCCAGTTCTATGTTAAGCCTGTTCAGGTTATACCAGTTAAGTCCAAATATCATGTCAAGTTCCAGTAGAGCATCTTAACATATTAAATAGTTATTTTTATCAGTCTGAGAATAGTATTTAGTAATTGTTTATATTATGTTTCAGTTTGATCAGGCTACGATTATCAGCACTGCCTTTTATTTGGACGGATCAGGTGGGGACTCAAACTGGGTATTACATTTATTATAATTACGCTACCATGTTTTAGGTATGTATTATCATGTCAATATCTGCTTAGAATGGTCGTCGGTCCCTTTTTTCTTCCCGGTCCAATATTTTTCTTATCTACGAGAATTTATGCTTCGCTGATTTTCAAAAACCATTTTTTTGCGATTTTTTATTTATTTCGATTTCATTTTTAATTCCATCCTTCTTTGTTTTTGGGAAGCCTTTTTGTATCACCCTACCACTCTTATTTATTATTTAATATTTATTTTTAAAATTTTTTTATTAATTAAAGGGAAGGAAGCAGCCAGTGATGTACCAGTATGATCTATCGGCTAACTCCTAAACTTCTAATATTTATACAATCCCAAAGTTTCTTTTTGATTCAAAAAAGGAAAACATTCTGGGTTCTAGTGGCCTTAATCTGCCCACTAGAGTGTGCACATAGTGTCTGGCATTTTCATGCTGGCAGATGAGGTATCAGTCATTTGATGATTATCAGGTTATGATTATTCAGTACGGGTTTCAGTTCAGGTTATGTATATGCCAGGATCATGATATTGCAATTATTTTCACTGTTTACTTTAGTATGAGTTCCTACGGTGCACAGTGGACTTTAGTGCTCACGCCCCCTGTTTATTATGTTTTTCAGGTCACGGAGTCGGACCGGAGATGTGAGATGGCGGCCAGTTCAGGATTATGCTTATAAAGTTTGAATTATACGGGGATTATGCTTATAAAGTTTGAATTATGCATAGCAGTGCTGTTAATATTCCCCATAGTATGATTTACATGTTTTGCTACTACTGTTTCCGCTGAGTTTTCACTGTTTGTCAAACTTAGCCCTTTTGATCCGATGACCAGTTATCAGACTGTTAGTCCGTTTTCTTAAAAAAAAAAAAAAAAAAAAAAATCAAATTTGAAAGTGAAGTCAGGTATTACGGTAGCACTCTGAATTAGTATTTCTCAATTTAAATGTTTTTATTTTGAAAAAAATTGCGAATAACGCACTCTGATTTTCATGAAATAGTGGGGTGTTACAATTATGTTTATGATTGAATAATTGTCAAGGCATGTTCAATGTTGGCATGAGATGTTTATTGGGATGGTTGTATTTCCTGGGAGTTAAGTGTTGACTTAACTGTTGATATGTGAAGTTGTTGAGTAGCGCCCGTAAAATAAGGTTTTAAATTAATTTGCGAAAAAAACTTAACTTTGTTTTTTGGAAAAATATTTTGGTATTTTTCTATTAAAATAACAGGGCATTACAGTTTGGTATCAAAGCGTGCATACGTTTCTGTAGACTGCTTCTGAATTTTTTTATGTCTTTATGTTATGACCCCTCGCTTCGTCCAGCCATGCCAGCTCAAGGTACGAGTGTTGTTTAATTTGTTTAACTTGTTAATTGGGGCTTTGGAACTTATCCTCCTTTCTTTTGATTAAATTGGACTTTGGTGGTTGAGTTGATGTGTTAAATTCCGACTTGTCTTATAGATATGGGTCCTCGTAGATATCCTCAGAATCAACAGGCTCCACCCGCTCAGGGTGAAGATCATGGTCGTATGATTGAGCTATTCCAGAACATGCGTCCCCCAACCTTTTCTGGAGAGGAGGAGCCAACAACTTTAACAGAGTGGTTCCATAAGCTGGAGAGGATCTTCACCGTTCTCCGATGCTCAGACGCCCAGTGCATCGAGTGCACTAAGTACCAGATGGAGGGTGATGCCACCGACTGGTGGACTGACTATTGGGTTCTAAGGTCGTAGGCTGAGCGGACTGCCCTAACGTGGGTGAGGATGAAGGAGATTGCTACTGACAAGTACATTCCCAAGAGCTATCGTGATCAGAAGGAGCGAGAGTTCTATGATCTCCGACAGGGTACCACTTCCGTTGATTTGTATGCTAGGGCCTTTACCCGGTTGAGTGTTTTTGCTCGGCACATGATCGAGACTGAGGAGAGGAAGGCTCGTAAGTTCAGAGATGGGCTTCACCAGGACATTCGTGTTTTGGTGGCTAGTCATGGGGAACTTCCTTTCACATACACAGTTATCCGAGCCCAGCAGATTGAGAGTTGCATGACCCCGGTGGCCCCCGTCTCTTCCTACTATCATGCCCAGCCTACTCAGTCAGGTATCCAGCCAGCTGTTACTGCTCAGCCACCATCTGGCTCGAGCAAGAGGAGGAATGACCATCACTCGGGCCATAAGAAGTTTAAGTGCCCAGATCCCGGCAAGAAGCCAGTGAGAGCTCCGCCTATTCAGCAAGTTCAGGGAGGACAGCCGAGGTGTGGATCATGCGGTAGGTTCCATGCAGTAGGAGAGTGTTTCGTTGCCCAAAAGACGTGTTATAACTGCCATCGTCTCGGACACTTTGCTCACAAGTGCCCCGAGCCAAAGAGGGAGAACCCAGGACCGCACCAGCAGCAGCTTCCGTACCCACCACACCAGCATCAGCTCCAGTACCCGCAGCATCAGCAGCAGAACCAGCAGCGACCTGTGGCCCAGGATCGAGTTTACGCTCTCACCAATGAAGAGGCCGCCAACAACACAGGTACCACTGGAATGCTTTCTATTTCGAACGTGCCTGTCTTTGCCCTATGTGATACTGGTGCCACGCATTCTTTCGTTTCTTCTAGTTGTTTGGAGGACTTAGGAATTAAGGACATCAGTGAGGTCGACGCTCTCGAGGTTAGCCTAGCCTCGGGAAAGACGATCGCTACTGCTTCAATGGTTCGAGTTTTGCAAGTTAATATCGGCGGCAGGAACTTAGAAGCCAACACTTATATTATTGAGATGCGGGACTTCGATGTGATTCCCGGCATGGATTGGCTTACCGAGTACCGCGCCAACATCAGATGTTTAGAACGTGAGGTAACTCTACTTCCCGATGATGGCCAACCGATCACCTTTTTCGGAGCAAAGACGAGACTCGTGTCCAGGGTTATGTCTTCATTGAAGGCGATGCGGACCTTATCAGAGGGTAGCTGTCAAGGTTACTTGGTGAGTATGGTTAGTGAGGAGAAGAAGGAGTTGTCTACGGAAAGTGTGTCCATCGTATGTGATGGATGTATTTCCAGATGAGTTGCCTAGAGGACCGCCGGACAGACAGGTTGAATTTGTTATCGACTTGGTTCCCGGGGTCGGCCTAGTCTCGAAGGCACCGTACAGAATGGCATCGAAGGAGCTGCAAGAGCTCAAGTCGCAGATCCAAAAACTTTTGAACCTTGGTTTCATCCGGCTGAGTGTTTCGCCCTGGGGAGCACCTGTGCTGTTTGTCAAGAAGAAGGATAGGTCGATGAGGATGTGCATTGACTGCAGAGACTTGAACCACTTAATCGTGAAGAACAAATACCCACTGCCCCAGATCGAGGATCTGTTTGACCAGTTGAGGGGTGTCAGGGTGTTCTCTAAGATTGATTTGAGGTCTGGCTACCATCAGCTGAAGATTCGGGAGTCCGACATTTCTAAGACGGCCTTTTAGACTAGGTATGGACACTACGAGTTTGTGGTGATGCCGTTCGGGTTGAGCAATGCACCGGCGGTGTTTATGGACTTGATGAACTGAGTTTTCCATCCGTACTTAGACCAATTTGTCATTGTTTTCATCGATGATATTTTTGTTTATTCGAAGGACGTCGAGGAGCATATGATTTATTTGAGGCTTGTACTAGAGACGCTTCGCAAGGAGAGGCTGTACGCGAAGTTCTCGAAGTGCAAGTTCTGGCATGATCGTGTGGCATTACTTGGCCATATCGTGACGGCTAGAGGCATAGAGGTGGACCCTAGCAAGATCGAGGCAGTGAAGAGTTAGTGTACCCCGAGGAACGCCAGCGACATCCGTAGTTTCCTGGGTCTGGTAGGATACTACCGTAGATTCATCGAGGGTTTCTCAAAGAAGCCCAACCGATGACCAACCTGACGGAGAAAGCTGTGAGATATGTTTGGAGTCCCGAGTGTGAGGCTAGTTTCCAGGAGTTGAAGCAGAGACTTACCACAGCACTTGTATTGACCATTTCAGATCCGACTTTGGAGTTCACCATCTATAGTGATGCTTCGAAGTTGGGTTTGGGTTGCGTGTTAATGTAGCAGGGGAGAGTCGTGGCATTCGCATCGAGGCAGCTGAAGCCTCATGAGACGAACTATCCAACCCACGACCTAGAGCTAGCCGTAGTAGTCCATGCCTTGAAGATTTGGCGGCATTACCTTTACGGAGGAAAGTGCGAGATCTTTACCGACCACAACAGCCTGAAGTACATCTTCACACAGAAAGAGCTCAACATGCGACAGAGATGATTGTTATAACTCGTGAAGGACTACGATTTCACAATTAGCTACCACCTAGGGAAGGCTAATGTGCTCGCCGATGCGTTGAGTCGGAGGAACCACGGTGCGCTAAACTTTATGATTTCTCGAGAGAAGGAGTTAGTTCGGGACTTCGAACGGGTGAAGTTGGAGATCGTGGAGTCTACTCTGAGAGCTAGTGGTGTGCTGGCATCATTAGTTGTGGGGCCAACTCTCCAAGAGAGAATAATTTCCGAACAGCCGAACGATCGATTCCTTAGTCGAATGAAGGAGTTGGCATTAGTCGGACGGATTGGAGGTTTCGCGGTTTCAACTGACGGTGCTTTAGTCTTCGAGGGGCAACTTTGTGTACCGGAGGTTTGGGAACTGTGATGTGAGATTCTGAAGGAGGCTCATAGTACTCCTTATTCCATTCACCCTGGTAACACGAAGATGTACCAGGAATTGAGGAACACCTTTTGGTGGCGTGGTATGAAGCGCCAAGTGGCGAGGTTTGTGAATAGTTGTCTGGTGTGTCAGCAAGTGAAGGCTGAACACCAGAAACTGAGAGGGATATTGAGTCCCCTTGAGATTCCCGTATGGAAATGAGAGTGCATCACCATGGACTTCGTGGTGGGTTTACAGAGGTCGAGGAAAGGACACGATTCTATTTGGGTGATTGTGGATAGACTTACGAAGTCTGCCCACTTCTTGCCTGTTAGGACGACGATGAAGGCCAGTGAGTACGCCGAGTTGTTTGCCGCTGAGATTGTTAGACTTCGCGGGGTGCCCGTGGAGATTGTGTCCGACCGAGATGCGAAGTTTACTTGTCAGTTCTGGAGGACTCTGCACCGAGCCATGGGGACGAGGCTGGAATTCAGTCACCTATGAGGAGGTGCTGGTTGCCGTACTGGACCGGAAGGTCCATCAGCTGAGGAACCAGGCAGTGAGTTTGGTGAAGGTGCTATGGAGCCGACACGACGAGACCGAGGCGACTTAGGAGATCGAGGCCGAGGTTAGGAGGAGATATCCGAACTTCGCTTTTTCATCCCCTTTGTACTCCTTTGTATTGTAGTTGATTTACTTTGTTTTCTTTTATTTCCGGGAACGGAAATCTTTTAAAGAGGGTAGATTGTAGTGCCCCGTTCGTTTATTAGAATTTTCCGAGATTTATGTGATTATTAATTTGCATTTATATTATCTTTGCCTTCGTTTCCTTATTTATATTGTTTGCTAGTTTATAAATATTATATGCTCGTTCTTACCTCGTTTCATTTATCTGCTATATTGTTAAATTGCTACGTGCTTAATTGTGTTTAATTATTGCGTGAATTATTTTGTTTTGTGATGAATGTGAATAGCTAGAACTAATTTTAATTATTAAGTTAGTTTGTTGGGTAGTTTCGGTTTAATCGCGTGTATTTTACTTTCGGTCCAAAGCGATTTAGTTCTAGTCTTTGGATTTAGTTCTAGTCTTTATGATTAATTCTTAGGCCTTTAATATTAGTTCCAGGCCAATTGATCAATTCGGGCCTAGAGGAATGTGTTACCAGACTCATCTTTGAAATTAATCATTCTTGCCCCATTGGACAAAAAAGTGAGCAGCCTTATTTATTTTTCCTCACGTGAACTTTATCTCCTCCCCGTTCAAACTCGTCGTTAATTTTCACGTGAGATTATTCCCACGATCAAACGTCCCCCTCCCTGTCGCTCATAAATCTCGGCCAAGGGCCATTCTTATCTTCACAGAAAATCGCACGTAGGAGTGTACCCAAGCTCTGTTCTTCCTCACAGCAAAAAAATAATAATAATAATAATAATAATAATAATAATAATAATAATAATAATAATAATAATAATAAAATAAAAAAAATTGCTTTTATTTTCCGGCGACGTGAGCTGTTCCAGCCGATTCCATCACCGGCGACCACCATTCTTTCTGTTGAATCCCTCCTCATCGCAGCAGCCATCACAGAAGCTTCAGTCGTTCACGCAGATAAAGCAGCAGTTCGGAACAACGTCCTGTTTGTCGTCCAGTCGTTCGTCGAGTTTTAGTTTCCGTTCGATTTGTCCGTTTCCAACCAAGCACGTGGATTCCAGAAGTGAGGTAATCATCAAGCCTCCTGGTTATGTTTTCGTACTCGAATATTACCGTTGGATCTATCGTGTTCTTGGAATCGAGTTTTGTTGATTTTTGAATTATTTTCGGTCTGTTCGTATAGTTCGACTGTGTTGTTTCGTGTAATTTATTTGTGGATTTATTGGAACTCTCGTTCGAATTAACAAGTATTGTTGCTGTTGTGATTGAATCGTGTTAATTCGGAGTTTCGTTTATTATTTTCCCGAGCCGTTGTCGTTGTCGTTCGTTAAATCATCGTTTCATTTCCCGAGCAAAAACCCAGTTTTTCAGTTACCCGACCGATGGATAGGTCTTGGAGAGTCTAAGGGCTCAGTTCCAAGAAACCTAGAATCGGACCCAAGGACTTACAACGAGGCACTCCAAGATAACGATGGAGATTCATGGAATGTTGCAATGAATGCTGAGATGGGGTCAATTGACTCTAATCAGGTCTGGGATATTGTAGAACCACAAGATGGGGTACGACCCATTGGATATAAGTGGATATACAAGAGAAAGAGAGGATCGGATGGAGAGGAGCAAACCTTCAAAGCTAGGCTCGTTGTGAAAGGTTATACCCCGATTGATGGTATAGACTATGATGAGACCTTTTCGCCAGTAGCTATGCTTAAGTGCATTCGGATTATCTTGGCTATAGCCGCTCATATGGACTATAAGTTCTGGCAGATGGATGTCAAGACGACTTCCCTAAATGGAAACCTTCAGGAGGACATCTATATGCAGCAACCAGAGGGATTCGTTACAAAAGGTCATGAGCATCTAGTGTGTAAGCTTAATCGGTCCATTTATGTATTGAAGCAAGCTTCGAGCTCTTGGAACATTCGGTTCGATGAGGTGATCCAGTTGTATGGGTTCACTCAATGTCCGAATGAGCATTGTGTGTACAAGAAAATTAGTGGGAGCGTGGTGGTGTTTCTTGTGTTGTACGTGGATGACATACTTCTTATTGGAAACAGTAAGAGGGAGTTGTCAAACATAAAGGTGTGGTTGTCTAAGCAGTTTGATATGAAGGGCTTAGGAGAAGCAGGACACATTATTGGTATTAAGGTCGTTCGAGACCGTAAGAAGAGAATATTGTCCTTATCCCAATCTTCATACATAGATACTGTCTTGGCTAGGTTCAGCATGCAGGATTCAAAGAAAGGTACCTTGCCTTTCAGGAAAGGAATCCCTCTCTTTAAGAAGATGTCTCCCAAGACGTCTCAAGAGATTGAGGACATGAAGACAGTTCCTTATGCATCGACAATAGGAAGTCTTATGTATGCTATGCTTTGTACCAGGCCAGATATCAGCTATGTCGTTGGCTTAGTAGCTAGTATCAAAGTAATCCGGGTAGGGAACATTGGTCTGCGGTGAAGCATATACTCAAGTACTTGAGAAAGACTAAGGAGTACATGTTAGTTTACCGTGCAGACAGCTTGTTACCTCTGGGTTACAGTGATTAATCTAATTTCCAGTCAGATATGGACGAGAGTAATTCAACCTCAGGTTATGTGTTTACCTTGGGAGGTGGAGCCATTTCATGGAGGAGTGCTAAGCAGAAATGCGTGGCAGACTCC